CCAGTACAATAAAGATGCTGATATAGCGGAGCAGTTCTAGTGGAGGGCTGCTAGGATGGTCAAGTGACTGGAGCCCACGAGGTACAATGAGAGGCTGCGGAACTGGGTTTGTTCAGCCTTAAGAAGAAAAGGCTGAGGAGCAAGTTTAGTCCTATGCACAGCTACTTAATGGAAGGATATAGAGAAGGTGGAGCCAGACTTCTCTCAGATAAATGGGCACAAGTTGCAACATGGGAAGTTCTGACTTGATGTAAGGAAAAATTTTTGCAGTGGGAGTGATCAGACACTGCAGCAGGTGCCCAGAGAGGTGAGAGAAGCTTTTTCCTTGGAGATGTTCAAAAAACTCAACTGGACGCAACCCTGAGCCGCCTGCTATAGCTGGACCTGTGTTAAGCAGGCTGCTGGACTTGATCTCCAGTTGTCCCTTCCAACCTACGTGATTCTTTGAAGGAAACAATTGTCTTTATTTTATCAGGTGACTGACTTTAGCTAGTAAGTGTTCCCTACAGGTATCTGTCTTAGATATTAGTAATCACTTCTTATTCAAGTAAGTAATTAGTAGTATGTGAGGGGGAAGAAAGATGTAGAGTCTAGAAAGCAAATGAGCATGACACCGAGTAGGATGGGAAGAGTAGTGTGACCACAACATCTGCTTAAGTTGGGGAGTACAGATTTGTTTCCCTGAAAGAGCAGGGAGAAGCAATCGGAGAGCTCCCTGAAGTAGGAGGCTGGGAGAGGGTCCCATGTAGGAATGAAGGAGAAATTAAGATGCTGCTGTCTACTGCATGCAGTAAACTTGGAGTATAGGCTGCAAATCTTGAGTATAAGGTAGCATTCCTGTAATAGTTAAATTGTTCTGTAGTTCGTATTTCTGATGAATGTCAGTTTCAACACTTCTTCCTGTGTTGCACTTCTGCTGCGTTCCCTGGCTAGCTGTTTTGGGAAGGAGTGAGACGTAACTATGAGAGTTTGGATGTTGGGCAGTTAAACTGAGCAGCTGTTATATTATTAATGTACAGTAAGTGCGAAGTTCTAGAATAATCGGGTTGTACATTTTACTTGAGCTTCGTGTGCTTGAAGGTTTTGAACTTTGTTACTGAAGAGAGTTCTTAAAGTAGCATTTGATTAGAACAGTTAAGAGCCTGAGCCAGCTTCTTTAAGTGGCATGCAAAACATTTAATTTGCAATGAATTTTTTCCTGTCTGTTGTTATAAAGTTGGCATGAGGCACACATAGAACAGTTGTGTGCTTGAAGGTTTTGAACTTTGTTACTTGCAAAACATTTAATAGTAGCATTTGATTAGAACAGTTAAGAGCCTGAGCCAGCTTCTTTAAGTGGCATGCAAAACATTTAATTTGCAATGAATTTTTTCCTGTCTGTTGTTATAAAGTTGGCATGAGGCACACAGGCATGCATTTTATGAAATATAGATGTTAAATCAAAGTAGCTGGCAAAAAGTGGAGATGTATTTCTTGTCTGGGTACTGAAATTTTTTCAGAGGAGAGAAAAAAGCTAGCAGTACTTGTGTGTTAGATGTGACATAAAAATGCCCGTAATGATGTGTTGCTTGTGTGTATGATATCAGTTTCTGCTTTAAAAAGTTCATTAAAATGCATTTATTGCCGTTTGTGCACATAATTGGGACTTGCAAAGTCTTTTCCCTTTGGATCAAGTAAAGCTCTCAAGTTGAAGAAATATGCTTCTTCACAAACAGAATTTCATAGCTTTATATTTTTAGAAAGTGTGGTTGTATAATGGTGTACAGCTAATGATCTCCCTAGTTTTGCTAGTGCCTGCCACTTTGCCTAATGAGCAATTTCAAATGAAGTAGACGGAGTAGAGGTTTAATCATGATATAAATGCATTCTGTCTCCATTTTTCAGCTGTATAGAATTCTAGTTTGGTGTGGAAATGATTTAGATTTAAGAAAACCACTGGGATTTAGTTGGTAACATTGCCCCTTCCTTAGGGATGTTTGTCATATAGTAACTAACTGGCTTAGGGCCAGTTTTAGAGAGGAAAGTGTAAGAACTAGCAGATTAAAAAAAAAAATGACGGGGGGGAGAGGAATTATTGGAGCAGCAAAAGTAAAATTTTCTTTTTTTAGCGTGGGTAGAGTACTGCCATGAATTGCCAAAGGCCTTTATAAGGGGTCTTTGAGATGGGTTATATTTTGAGAAGAGAAAGTTCATGCTTAGTAGCTCACTCAACATCATCTCACAATAAGGACCATTCTTTTCTTCTTGATGTGGATGAAATTGGCTCTACCTAATCCCCTGAAGCATATTGGTGAGCAGTCCAAAGCATAAGGGTAAGAGGAGATAGTGAAGGGATTTGGAGAAGTAGAAGTAAGACTGGAAGCTAAATAAGGGGAGAAACAAATAAAGAACTGAAGTGGAGTAGGCTTAGCAATCTCAGTATCAAGGCTTCACTCTGATTCCTTACAGATTGTGTAAGGGAATGCACTAAAAAGGAGAGTATAAACTAATCTTGACATTAAGGCCTCCTCAACTTAAATGTGCAATTTGGTAATTTAGTTTCCTTAGCATGTAAAATCTTCCCTTATGAAGGCATTCTGGATCTTATGAAAGCTTAGAAAAAAAGCAGCACTGGAAATTGCTTTGAGGGTATTTATGGCACTTCTAAGCCAATTCTTAGACAGTGCAACTTGACCCATGTAGCAGCTAATCATTTCTGTAGGAAACAAAGTTAAAATAGCCCTAAATGACTACTAGTTTAACATACTTACTGAGTAATTTCAGGAAAATCTGACAGAAGGATGCAAGCAGAAAGTCTTTCTAGCTTTGCACTTTCTTACAGCAGGGATTTCATGCAGGAAGGAAAACTCGTTTGGGGAGAAGCATCATTCAGGACTTTCATGTATGATCAGTAGTGACAGCTGTCATATCTTCCATGTCCTCAGTCTTCCAGTTCCTTGTCCCGCATCTTACCTTCTGCTGTCAGCTGCTTGGCTTCTGAACTCTATTACGTTCCTCGTTTGCTCCTGACTCCTGATATTTAAGTGTATCTTAAATATCATGTCTGACTTGTGCATTCAGTTTAACTCTGACTTGGCTGGATTAGCTTCCCTGGATTAGACCAGTCATATCCCTGTTGTTTCCCTGATGGCAGACCATGTGTTACTGCTGAAATACTCCGCTTGAAGAGTTACATAGGGGAAGTGGAAGAGACGGGAGGTTTTAAATTACTACTGTTTCACTTGTAGCTAATTGGCACCTTTGTAAGTGACAAATTAATTAACTTAAATGTTTGACTCTTGAGATCCGAATCCATAGGAAAAGACCTGTTAGTTTTGGCACTGATGGAATTACTTGTTTGTCTTATAGGTACATAAATACTTCAGCTTCCTTAAGCTAATTGCACAGCATTAGACTTAACAATTGTGATGTTCGGAATTGAACTCTGGGATTGTAATTTCCAGAGTGTTTCTAGGAGAGTCCAGTGAAGGCAGCTTTGCTAATTACTTCAGATTCAGAGCAGACTAGTTACTGGCACAGTATCTGGATGCTTTCCCTGTGTAGTTTCAACAGAAAGTTGTGTTTTGTCCTTACAGATTACAATACTAAACTCTGGAATGTAGGCTTTCTTTAGGGATAGTAGGTTGAACAACTAGAATAATACAGTATTTGATCTTCCCTGCCTTGAAGGGCTTTGCACACTGGAGTCTTAAACACTTTTTGTTCTCACTTAGTACAAGTGAGTGGTAGAATGCAAGAACGTGAAGTTGTTTGGGGAAGTGTAATGGTGTACTGCTCCCCCAGAAAAAATGGAGGGATTGAATATTCTGATCCTTAAAATGCGGCATGGTTGTTAATATGAAAGCCTTGAAACTTAAGTTAGCTTATTTCTTTATTTTTGTAACACATCTTAGACTGTTGCTTACCTGCAACTGATTTGAGGAATGGATTAAATAAAGTTCAGATTTCAGATCGGTGTGATGCTGTGTAAGGAGCTTGTTGCTAGGATCTCTAGGGTTTGCTTTTACAGAGGTGGCTTTGTTCTTGGGTCTGCAGGGATCCCCAGGTTATAGTGGCTTTAGGTAGAACTAAGAACTCACTTCTGCTGAGCTGTTAAGGCAAATAAGCAACTTCTGAAGTTCAGCAAGTACTGGGTTACTATACCATCGTACAAACTTTGTGGCAGTTTAAGTGAGTTTGTCATCTGGTGTGACATTGGACAGTCCTTGTTTTGCAGACTGTTTTGCAGCTTTGTAATCCTGTAGCCAAAGGATAAGGTTAATTACGGAAAAACCACTTCAATATGGTTGTCTAAAGGGGATTATGTGTAGCTGTGAATAGGAGCAAGACATTTCACTTAACTTTTACAATAATTGCAACTTTTATCCACTTTTAATTGCAGATATTGTCGATGTATACTAGGCAGTTTTCCTTCTAGCAGTCTTGAAGTGTATGTCCTTTGAACCAAATGAGTACTGGTTCCAAATCTCTGCAAGAGGAAGATCTTTATAGTCTGAGGCTGTTTTTCTGGTTTATATACTCTGTATCAGATAGGAGTTTTTTGGTAGATGAAATTGAAACCTGGATAAACTTGTATTTTTGCAGTCCTTCGGAATACTTATTGAATTGTTAAGAGTTGACTGGCAAGAAAGGGAGGCTTAAAAGGTAATATTTAAGAATCCTGGTGCCTGGCATTGTAGAAGATGGGGACAGATAGTTCACTTTTGGGACAGCATAATTTACATAAAGGGAGTAATAAACAAAGGGAAGTGGAACTAAAAAAAAGGTAAAAGTCTAATGCAGGAACTGTGCAGCTGTGTATGCGTTTAGCTGACATGTGACTTGGAAGTCAGATAACGTTGTAAGGTAGGCATGTTGTTTGACAGTGCAGGCTGCATATTGGAGACTTGTTTCTGAAACAAATGTATTTTCTCACTGCTACAAAATTGAACTAATTTGAAACTATTTGACTGAACTGTTTGTCATCTGGATTAATTTGTCCTTTGCCTTGTGTTGTGTAGGTTGAGATAAAAATGAAGAAGCCAGAAGCTGTAAGATGGGAGAAGCTAGAGGGACAGGGAGATTCTCCGAAGTTAAAGCAATTTACACCAGGTTTGTTCTCTGAACTATTAATTATTTCAGGTTTAACGTTTGTATGAAGTCACTTACCAATATTCAACACACCAAGTGTTCTAATAATTGGAATAGTATTACAGCTTCATATTTACAACACAAAGCCTAATGGCATTTTTACTGCCAGCAACTGATAGAAGTAGTTTATAGGGCTTTGCTAAAATTCAGTTATTAAAGTTAGTCATCCCTTCCATTAACCTGGTGGATTGTTCAGGATATGTGTTTGTCACTAGTTTCCCCGGGGCTTATTTCTTTGGCGCTGTCTATTTTGGTCACTCTGTTCTGCGGTGCTTTGCACTCTTTTTTATTTAAAAGTAAACTTCAGCTGCCGAATCTGGTCTCTGGCATCTCCTTAATTGCCTTTATTGTTGTTACTACAGTGCTTTCATCTGTAAGGAGGAACTGATTTGCATTTTCAGATTCACATATCATGGGTTATCTCCCTAATTCATAAAATATGTTGATGTGCATATACTATCATATTTACTGCCATTTTATAAGTCAGTTGTTCAGATGTTTTTTCCACGTTAGTAGCGTCCAAGCTTCCTCCTACTGTGGGGTGTATGTGGTTCTTTGTATTTATTTGGTTTTTTAATAATCAGGAGGTGCTTTCCTCTTCTCCCCATTTCTCTCGCTACGCCTTCTGTTTCTCAAGGCTGCTTTTTGCATTGGTTTCATTCTGTGCCATGTCTCCTTAGAATATATCAGCAGATTACTGTATCAGAGGTTAAGCTGGTTATTAAGGCTATGATGTAGGGACAATGGAATGGAAAGAGTTTAATTGACTGCAGTTGCCTTTGGATCGCATCGTAATGCTTAAGAACATCTTTATGAAACATTTATCATCACTGAAGAGACTATCTTTTTTTTTTCTCTTCAGCCAGTTTCTGATTTGTATTTATGGCCTATTTTAAAGTCAGGTAAAACTGATATAGTGGATATTTCATTGATGTCTGTTTTACATTTCCTTGCTAATTTTGAAAGCCTCTTACCATCTAGAGAATTTTCACCTTGCATGGATCATCTTAAAATATAGAGTCCTGAAATTTTTTTGTTCATTGCTGGTTTACATGCGTGTGCTCATTTTGTGCTTTAGGTTAGCATTTCCCAAGGAATTTCTGGTTGCAGCCGTCCTTCCAGTTGCATGCTTTACTCCTTTTACGTTCATAATCCGAATACTAGAATTCGTTAACTAAAGCTTCTGTTTTCAGATACCCAGCACTTATATCCTTCATCCTCTCACTATACAAGGAATTGGGACAAACTGGTGGTTGAGATCAAGGAAGAGGAGAAGAATGAAAAGTTAGAAGGAGATGCTGCTTTAAATAAACTATTTCAGCAGATCTATTCAGATGGCACAGATGAAGTGAAACGTGCCATGAACAAATCATTTGTAAGTCCTCGATCTTTGTTTCTATATATAAATGTGTAGCTTTTGCATATTGACACATTTTACTAAGCTTTGCATGAATTGGCAAGCTTCTAGTCATCAAAACCTTGAGCCTGCAATAAGTGGCAGCAGTTCAGTTGGAGATGTTGGTATAACAAGTCAGGCTACAACGTTGTGCGCTAGTGAACATGCTTAAAATCCAAATACGTACCTCAGTGGAGCTTGTACTTTGTCATTGGTCTCTTTGTTTCAGTTGGCGTTACCAAAGGGAATATAGTTTTTGGCTCATCTAGAGCTTGAAGAGTTGCTCACGATGAAAGGATCAAATTCCTCTTAATTGCTGATACCAGGTTCCTTTCATTTGTAGTCCTACTATGAAACAGCATGAATGGGCCTTTAAAAGCTGCTTGTTAATGAAGTAGCTTTTCAGTATGTCCAGTACTGTTAAAAGTACGCTTGGACTGAAGTTTAGAGAATGGTGGCTTTGTCAAATATTATTCAATGTGTGTGCATATACGTGTGTGTGTGTGTGTGTGTGTATATATATGTATATACACACCAAAATGGTATGTAACTTCTAAATGAAGTTTGACACATTCTGACAATATTAAAGAATTCAGTTTGGTGTAAGAAGTGTAACTTACAAGTCACTAAAATTCCTCTAACAAACTAAAGTATTTTCTCATATTGCAGATGGAATCTGGAGGCACAGTTCTGAGCACTAACTGGTCAGACGTTGGTAAAAGGAAGGTAGAAGTAAACCCTCCTGATGACATGGAATGGAAAAAATTCTAATCTTTGATTTTTGTCTTTTACCATCTATGTTTTGGCATAGTCATGTACTGACCACTGTGTATGGACATAGCATTCTTGGATTCAAAGCACTGAATATTCCTTTGGAACAAAATGGTATGTAACTTCTAAATGAAGTTTGACACATTCTGACAATATTAAAGAATTCAGTTTGGTGTAAGAAGTGTAACTTACAAGTCACTAAAATTCCTCTAACAAACTAAAGTATTTTCTCATATTGCAGATGGAATCTGGAGGCACAGTTCTGAGCACTAACTGGTCAGACGTTGGTAAAAGGAAGGTAGAAGTAAACCCTCCTGATGACATGGAATGGAAAAAATTCTAATCTTTGATTTTTGTCTTTTACCATCTATGTTTTGGCATAGTCATGTACTGACCACTGTGTATGGACATAGCATTCTTGGATTCAAAGCACTGAATATTCCTTTGGAAACAGGAATTACCATCTTTACATTTTATGTGCTTTAGAAATTCCTTCCATCTGCAGAGGTTAAAGATATAATCAACAATGGAAGTCTGTTTTCGTCACTTCTGTCTAAGGGTTTTTTGAAAATTGACTCGGTCACAGTATAAATTTTCTACCAGCTTTATCAGCTCTATTCTGTGGGTATGGGGTGATCCTTAATGGGCTGTTCAGGATTATTGCCTTATGCCTGGTGTTTCTGTTCAATAACTTATTATAACTTGGCAACTTTGAGTAAAAACACTTCTCAACAACAGTGTTAAAATTGTTCACTCTTTAACTCTGCTAAATAAAACTGTAAATATAACTTTTTTCTATATGGAAGATGCTTCATTTCACTTTTAGTAATAAAGTCTTGGTTTTCGATGACAGGGGAATCATTTAAGAGCATATCGCTAAAGAAGTGAGTATACTGCTTAAAAAAAAAAAAGGCATGTATAGGAGCAAAACTGCTGCCCTATGGAAAGGATGAGGTTGCTGTTCTTGTTGCAGATACAGAATTTCCAGTTGTGAATTCCGTCCACCTTGGTGATAGGTGGAACTCTAGCCCTATGTGATTGGTGGAGATAGTCTGTCATGACTGGAAAATTTCTACAGAAAAGTGAGTCTGCCTTCTATCTTCAAAAAGAAGGACTTACTCTAAATTGTCTGAAATCAAAGATAACAAGCAATCGGTATAACTTCTGTTATTTTAAAATGTTGGAAGCTGTATTTATATTTGAGAACAGCCCATGCATCCTTCACTGTTTTCATCAGTACATCTTGATAACATTTTAAATAATATTTGCAGAAAAGGAACTGAAAAGGCTAAGAAATATTGTCCATGCCTGTGCTTTGTGGTTAGAGACCTGCAGGGGGATATGAACTGAAGAAGTTGACGCAAACATAGTTAATAGCTGCCACTGTCTGGATTTTGGGGGGGGGGAGATTCCAGATCACTCCGTGAATTGAATATATTGGCAGCAGCCGAAAATCGCACTTCCTTGTTAGCAGTTGGACACTGGTGTAAATTTGCTGTTAGTTTTCCTTGCTTTCCCAACTAAGTAGGCTTGGCTAGATTGTTTGCCATTTTTGCCTGTTGTCTGTGTATTTGATATGTTATTTTACTACGGTGAGAATTAGATGAGCTTGTTAAAAATAGAAGGGCTACTGAAGTGGTTCTTTTAGTAGGAAAAGAGTTATGAGTCTAGAGCTGATAAAGCAATAAACATTTGCGAAAGGTCATCTGAAACTAACTTTGGTAGGAGGAGGAAGAAAGGATGTATTTTCCTCCTTGGGAGACCTAGGAATGTACGTTTTGCTGTGATGCCGCAAAAGTGCGTTAGTTTTTGTTGTTGTTGTTTTCCCTGGTACTGTTACCCTGCCTGTGTAGTAGCAGAGAGATTTTTTTCAAATCTCACAAAACTGTGGAGAGAGCTTGTTTTTGGATGTTTACTATAGCAATGACTTCAGATTGTCTGTCTTGGCAGCTGTAGACTGTAACTGCAGTCTTGACTGCAGTTTCTTGATGTGCTCAGCTCATCCTTATCCTACAGTGCAAGCTTGACAGTGATTTCTTTTTAAATCACTTCTAGCTTCAGGATTGATTCATATTTTCTAAAGCTTGAATTTGACCATCTGAGCTGAGTGTGATCCCGGTCTTTGACTATGATGAAGGCAGATGGAATGAATTTGGAAAGTGTGTGTGCGTGTAAGGCCTTGTCTCTGGCTCTTACTGAGAAATGCCTGCTTCTCAGAAGAGTTTCTCAAGGGTATACTTCTGGCATATCTGAGTGAAGATTTCTTAGCTTCAGTAGGGAATTTCTTGCCCTTCAGGGAGTCCTGAGTTAGCTAGTAGCTGAATATCTAGAGCATTTGCCATCTTTGTGGGATGCTAACATCCAAGTCAACTTGATTTGGAACAGGGGCTTCTGTTCTAGTGTAGAATGAAGACAAATGCCTGAGCCGAACTTTTCCATGAAATTAGTTTCTTATCTCCTGGCCAGCGCTGCTTTGTAGATGTCATTCAGAGCACTTAATGGTGCTTAGTAAAGACTTGCTGTGGGAAAAACCTAGATAAAAATCTCTTAAATAGAAATGGAAAAGTAATTTGGGGATGTTTTCTGCCAATCAAATTCTTTTTACTTAGTTGTAAAGAACATAGAGGTTCCTCTGTCTGCTTTCAACTACAGAAAGTCCATGGGAATATTTTGTCAGATAAGCACAATATATTTTTGTTTTAAGTGGGTACTGTTTCACTGCTTTGGGATTCCATTCGCTTAGCTTAAGGTAGAAAGCAAAATAAAATGCATTGGTACTGAGATACTCTTGAGGCACATGTAATGCAAATATAATGCTTTAGCTTCAGGCTAAAACTTGTAGTGATCAAGTGGTAGACCTCCCTGTCCATTTCAATCCTGTGAGCGAAGTATGCAGGTCTAAACACAATACCAGCATGTTTCTGACTACAGACAGGGAATGTGTGTGTATATGTATTTCACCTTCAAAATTCAGTGAACCAGTAATGGCAGCTCTTATATTAAGTCATAGGCATAACTTCCAGTTTTTTAATGAAACCAACAGGTAAGACTTTCCTGTAAAATTGGGGAAAAGTTGCTCCGTGAATGGTATCTGTTCTGTCCTTGACAAAATTCATAACACAAAACATGTCCAGAAGCTGTAGGTTACGAAGGTCAAGGGAAGGACAGCAGGGAGCTCAGAGATTGAATAGAGACCATGAGAGACTGAGCTGGGGACAAAGGGAGCTTCCTCGGCACCAGAGAGGAGATGGGAATTTGTTACAACGCAGTCACTGAGTTGGCTGCAAGCAGGGAACTGCTTGTAAGGACCCAGTGGACAGAGAAAGCTGTTGTACTTCATTGTCTTCTGTTTAGGTTTGCTTTTGAACAATTTATATTTTACTTGCATTTAAAATGTTTTGAGTTTTATGAATGCCTTTTTGTCATCTATGGGTCATACTCTCTAGAAGATCTGTGCGTTTTCACCTCAAAGCTTTGATTTGAGGTCCTGTTGCAAATATTGGGAACAGGAAGTAAGATCTGCTATCTAATAGGTAATGTTGTACCACCAACAGGCTTATTCTCTCTCTTTGCTCATCATAGAAAATGCCTGACCGTTGTAGTGTACGGTTGCCTCTCACTTTTGGTATAGTTACAGTGCTTTTAAAAGATCAGCTGAGCCTCTCAGAACCAGAATTTGGTTCAGTCTAATTTTTGCCCTCTCCGAGTAGTGTTTTTGTCTACCCCAATGTGCAAATCTGGAGATAGTCTGTTCTCTCAACAATTCATTGCTTGCCAGCTGCAGTTGTTTTATGCCTCTCTCCATCTTTGAAGTGTATGGAACAAGTGGTTAGTTTGTTCTCCACTGAAACTCAAATTTCCTTTGAATTTGTATGTTGCAGCAGGGTGCAAGTATTATATGGAGGGCAGAGAAGACAGGAACCCCCCTCGCCCCCGCCTCCTTTTTACTTCCTTAATGCAGATACCGATAGAGAATAATTTTCATATTAAAAAGGAGGAAAGGAAAGACTCAGGTTCCTTCCAGTGAGTGGAGAGAGGAGTGGATTATAGATGCAGAAAACGGACAGGCTCCCTCTGCCTTCCAGTTACTTGCTTTGTCTTTTTTTTCTCCTCCTAGCTTTGTGGCTTTGCTGCCTCCTGTTTTCCTTCTCTTTCCGCCAGCCTGAATTTACTCAGTCTTTTTCCTCTGATCTGCTCTGCTATCCTAATCGTGTTGGTACACATTCAAATGGGTAATTGAGCTTTAAGGGTAGTTGAATTATACTGTTTTAACACCCACCCACCTGTGGCAGGAAACACCTCTGGTAAAAGCATATTCCTTTTTCTTTCCTTCTCCCCTAAACTACGGCCAGAGAAAGGATTTAAATTCATGTCTGCTGGTGTGGGGTCAGATTCAAGGACCCTCCCCCCACGAATACTGACAGGTCAGAAATGCTGGTTGTTCTTTCCACACGTACATGTTGTAACCTGTTTAGCATGCAAGGTTTATTTTTGTTGGGGGTGGGGGGGTGAGATTATCTTCAACATTGGTTCTCTAAAGAAAGTAAGCGCTATGCAATAATGAACAGGATTAATGAGGATACTCTGCTGAACTGTAGTCTGAGCTTCTGCTATAGGGAAAACTGCTATATCTTTCATCCTTACAAAATAAATAATGAAGTTCTTTGCCCATCTCCCAGTCTGCTTTTGGATCATTGATCTTATTCATTGCCTCAAAGCTTTTTCTTACGAATTAGATGTTGCACTTAAACAGGACTTTTCAACCTTAGCCTCACCAAGAGAATATTCTGAGCTTTTTATATTTGAACGCTATACATAAATTTATTTTTACCTGTCTGAAGTATAAGGTGGGGAAGGTTTCTTGTTGCATATCTTTCGGAAATTGATAAAATGTGCATTCTAATACTCATGCAGTAGTGTAGTTCCTGTGGTTTTTACACTGCTTCCATGATTTGTGACTAATATCTGCTTCTTTTATCAGCGTGGCTTTCCTAGTATTGTGCATGTATGTCTTGAAAGTTGTATTTTTTTATATGGCGTTAGTGTTTAAAGCATCCATGGGTAGGATGGGCTTTTACTTCTTACACAGTCTGGAAAAACTGATACAAGCCTTAGGAAGAGTTAATGGAAATTACCTGTAAGATCCTTGTTTCTGCCTTCTAAAGGAAAATATGTTTTACTGAGAGGTTAGGAAAGAGCATGTCATGTGCTCCCTCAAGATGGCATAACACGTGTGAAAGACAGTGTCAGTTTAGTTCATTTAACACACACACGCGCACACACACAGCGCGCGCGCGCACACACACACACACTTCCCCTCACCTTGAGTATTTCATTGACTAATCCCCTTGTTTTCCTCTCCAGACAGTTCTTGAACATGTAATTAAAGGTGCTGCTACACTTGCTATGTTTGAAAAAGCAGAGAGCAATTGCAGTTTTTTAATGTATTTGTTTAATCTGCAGTAAAAAAAAAAAAAATCTGATTTTTCTAAGCATATGAATGATGTGCTTCTAAAAAAACAACATAATAATCAAGGTCACTTTCATTTTAAAAAGCAAAAACTCAAATTTAACAGACCTTGAAATCCCACTTTTAAGAAATTTTCAATTTAAATCTTTCAAAGCAAGTCTGTTCTTCAGGCTAAGGGAAGGTGAAGCTTATATTAAAGGTGATCATGATGGAACAAAATACCAAATTCTGTGCTCATCCTATTCTCATTTAACACTTTGTTTTTTAGAGATGCTGTTCAGCATTCTACATAAGGGTTTTTTTTTAAGCATGATTATGTCAAATTAATTCCTCGTCTGTGTGTGTCACGCAGTGTTAATAACATTACTTGGCTTGCAACATCTCGAGAGCTGTTTAGTCACAAAAACAAATGCTCTAGAAAGTTAGCTTTGGGGAAAAATTAGGCCACTCTGTTGATGAAGTTCATGTAGATGTCTCCAACAATATAATGGTACAGTTCAACCTATGTGGCATGGAAAAAGGCAGTGCAGTATCTTTATTTTTGTTTTCCAAGACTAGATGTCCTAAGTTTTCCACCTTCATGAGTGTTTCAGCTCAGGACCTTCTTTAGAATTAATACTTAAGAGGGTCAATTCCAGTAATTGCAGAGTTTTTCTAAGCAATAGGGATGAGGTTAGAAACCATTTTTGTTGGTGAGCAGTTTCTGTTGTGGGGAGCTGAGGTTAACTTTGGACTAAGGGAGCTAGCACGAATAACTGCTATCCATGTGGAATAAAGAGAGGTTGTAATCTTCTGTTAAAAGTGTCTAGTTCAAGGATTTATAAATACATTGACTGTTGTAGATTCGGAAGTGTCTTGAAGCTTTTTGGTCTACAGCTGCATGTAAATATTCTTGCCATAGTAGCTGGATAGCAGATACTCGTTAGACACGACAGTGGTATCATGGATACAAGATTCTTGACGCTGGGGTGGCTTTGATGTTTGGACGTGCGAAGCGTTTTGCTTCTGCGGCCACGCACGTTCTGCTCTGCAGCCCCCTCTTTGTGCCATTTATTTTTGCTTCTAACACAATGTGCACTTTCTCCTGTCCCCTGGAGCAGCTTTGTGGGAAAGGTATGCTATAATTGGTTTATTACCATTCATAATGACCTGGCAACTGTATGAATAACAACAGGGAGCAACTTAACTTGTGATTTATTAAAGTAAGCTACATGGATGAAAGGTGCTCCCAAGTGTACGAGTTTAACTAGTTGCCTAATTGGACGTAAGTTTCCACATCTACCTCAGAGAGGGTTTTACTATGAAAGACTGAATTTGGATTTACGAGCAAGCTTCTAGACTGTTAAACCAGTTTGTGAGCAAAGTTAGTATCACTTGTTTTGGGACATCTTAATTTTTGCATTCAGTAAGTTCTAGTGTACACTTGTCATTTGTAAAGCTAATGGAGTATTAATTTAAGATTTTATTTACAGTTGGAATAACTAACTTCACTTTTGATACATTAACACACACTTTGATTTAAAATCCAGGATTGGTAACGCTGCTTTGGTTTAGGTCCCTTATCTGTTTGTTGTCATTGTACTCTTGCTTACTTTGTCAAGGATCTGCATGCTTTCTCTCACACAACACCCATGATACGAGCAACCCACCAGCTGCAGGGCATAATGATTCGGCAGGCGGTGCGACAGCCTTGGTAGTTGTAGGGCCAAGGGTAGTAGCCCATGAGAGGCTCACAGATTCTCTGGCACTGTGTGTAGCTTCGTCGGCATTCAATGCAGCACACACCTAGATGGTCCAGCATGGGGTCAAAAGCTGTCCCTTCACCTTCCAGTTGCTGAAATATAAAATATTAACTGTTATCTCTGTGTTCTTTGAGAATGTAGAATATACCTGTGCTCCTGTTAACACTGCAAAGGGTAAAAACTGAAATTCTGCTCCTGTTGAAGTTAACAAAATTACTTACTGACCCATAGGTTATTTTTTTGTTTGTTTTGTCTTGCTCTGTTTGGTAGAAATGTGGAATTGCTGGAATCATCTGTGTACAACAGAAAGAAACATCAGGAAGCTCTAACTTATTTCATGATTTTTCCTCTCTCCCATCCTTGCAAAAGATCCAGCAGCAGTGAAGTCCAAGGTACAGATACTAGTGATGGAAAAGATAAAGATGGTAACCTGGGTCTTTTATGCAGATGGCCGTGTTTGGAGCTTACAGTTTATTTTTAATCTTTTTTAAACTTTTATATTTTTATTACTATGTTCCTGACTCACTATTCTGTAAACTATTACCCTGCATTTTTCTGAAATCAGAATATTTTTCCTTTGCCCTTCAGTTACTGCTCCCCCCCTCCCCCCAGAAAAAAAAAAAAGAAAAACAAACACATGCACACTTAGGTGCAGTGCAGATAGTGACTGTTCTGGTTATTATGTATTAGACAGTAAGGAGCTACATATAGAGCAAGACATACATAGGATACATAAAGGCAGGCTCCTGCTACTGCCCTGTTCCTTCAAAATTCTTTTACTATTTTCTGGGTATAAAAAATGAATGTTCTACTCTTTGAAACCAATTTGTTCTTTTTCCGTTGGTGCTATTTCAGAAATAGTAACAGTAAAGAGCAAATGTCAAAGTAATATCTAGCTCTTTCCTGGGTATTTTTCATTCAGAGAACTAGCAGCGTGTTGAAGATGCGAGGCACGGGGATGCAGTTTTTTCCAAGCTTCTAGAGGATGCTAGTGACAAGTGTGTGGTTCAGGCCTGTAGCAACCGACTGCCAGTGCCGATAGCAGGGAGGGTGTCATTTCCCTTGAGGTGGGTTTCGTCTTCCTTGAACTCTGATACTGGCAATGTGAACATCCAAGCTCATTGCCTGGGCTCCTTTTAGAATGGATGAAGAGAAACAAGTAGTTCTAGGGATGATTCATTTCATCCCGAAGGAAAGGCCTTACAGTATCATTTAATGTACTTTTAAATTGAATGAATCAGCCTCTAAGAAAGCTTAGACCTCTATGCAATAACAGAGGTTAACGGAAGTGAATCCTACTCTGCAGCCTAAAGGAAGTCAAGGGAGCGTATCCAACTCAAAAGCTCTTGAGGAGCCTTCTGGCTGGATGAACAGACCTGCAGCAGCTACCGCTGCTCTCCCAGAGGAAAAAGGTGACTTGGACCCCGTGGACTTAAAAGGTAGTAAACGTGAAGAGAAGTTCCATCCCAGTGCTGCTACTACTTTACCTAGTTCGTGAGAGTCAATTTAGATCCACGTTGTTTGGCGAGACACATTTAAGTTTAATTAAGGGATGTCAACTCGGTAGAATGCTGTCACAGGATAATGATCTCCTGCTGTTGCATAAATGTTAAGTCAAAGCTGAGACTTATTTCCAAAGCAGGAGTCATTTATCTTATGACAATGTTCTATTAAAATGACTTATTCCTGCTAAAATCCTGCTGCACCAAGTGGTGGATGTAAGTCGTCTGGTGTTGGTGCAATAGACTGGAAGTTGCTTACCGTACAGTTAACTTTCTGCAGCCCTGCAAAGGTGCTGGAACGCAGGAGAGCTCCTCTGCTCTTTCTATGGACTGCTTCACAGCAAAGAGTAAGGACAAATTTTGTGGTAGTCCCCCCTGCACCTGCTATTGGTTTCTAAACAGCTTCAGTTCTGTGAATTGCTTATCGGAGGATCTCTTACCCAGATAGTTATGGCTTGGAGAACAGATTTATTTGGCCTAATCCTGATCTCTGAAGCCAGACATTAACTACCACTTCTCCTCTGTAGTTGTCACTCCTCATGCTAATTTATATTTGAGTGCATAATATATTTCTAACTACTAGAAATATATTGTCATCTTGACAGTAAAAGATCAGGTTCAGCTGTCTGATCAGGACAAACTTTGGTTTATTTTCAGACTCTATCTCTGTAAAATGTCTTTAGTGCTTCTTCTGTATGGAACCCTTAAAGCAACTTTTCATCAAATTGTCCTAAATTTACCACCTTCAGTGCATATTCTTGTTTCAGACTGAGGCCTAATAAAAAGTAGGAGTGAGGGAGGGAGGGGAGGATTGGAGGTAAACTGGTATTTGAATGTCTTGGAAGTAAAGGTGCTTTACAAGTCTGTACTCTTGGAAGAAAGCGAGAAGAGGAAAAATGTGTACATTTAAAATAAAGAAACCCCACTTCCTCACTATTATCTGTCAACAATAATCTTGTGCTCTGCGAGGGTTACAGTGCAAATACTTACATTATACGGATTGTCTGGATTAAGTGTTTGATTGGTTTCTTGTCCCATTGGCCTGGTTTCATTAGACTGGTGATCAAGGTCTTGCATCAGTGGTGTGGTGGGAGACCTGGTATTTACTTCTTCAGTAGCAGCTTCCAGTTCCTCCACATCAGAGTTTGATTCTGATTGGCGTATTTTCCTCTTTATTTCTCTCCTTTCCCTTTGGTTATCTGAAGGAAATAATCACTGAAAGATCATCATAGTTTGAACATGCCCCTGTGTATGTGCAAAGACTGTCTAACATTCCAGCGTTTAAAAAACAAACCGAACAAAAACCTTCATAGTGGAAAAACTTGACAGGCATGCCAGTGGAAGCTGGCTTGCCTTTCTGTATTTTATACATGGCCCAGTATCATTCTAAAGAGGCATGCAGTTACCTCTTTTCCTCCTCCCCTTGAAGCAGAACAGACTTGGAAGGCAGATGTGAGGAGATGCTTTGTGACTCACCACATGGGCAATGATGTTAACTCAGCAGCAGTTGCCAATGCTAGCAAGAGCAGTTGTATGCAGCTCATCTTTTAAAGAGCACCTGTGACAGACTAGTGCCCTGCTCCCAAGCGGGCAGCTGGGGAACCTGGTGAAAACAGCTTCTGGACTGCTTTGACGGTGTTCTTTTGCCCAAAGGGATGTGCAAGATCATGGGAAAAAAACTGTAAAATATTGGCAGTTTGCATCGGTGCTCTAATGATACCAACTATTTTTTTTGAATATTTTAATATTAACTAGACTAAGGGGCAGTAAATCTCCTCTTCAAGCCCTCTCTTCTCCTTGTAGCCCTGGAAGTCACTTGGATAAGTTACCAGCTTCGTAGTAACTCCAATGAACACCTCCATGGCTCTGGATGGCAGTGATGCTTCAGTCCCAGGTCTGCCCCCAGGACATCATGAACTTCATCTGCTCGTTGCCTATAGCTAAAGCATCTTGTCCTTCCACTCCACTGAAACCCTCTGGAGGAGCAAGGTGGGAAACATGACAGCTGTGGTCCCAGCTCTGGAGTTTGCTGTACCCCAGCTCTTGGCCAGATGTGGGATTCCTGCTAGCTGATGTCAGCTGCCTAAAAATTTAGGGGACTCGTTTAAGCTATTGTCTTGTCCCTACTGACCTTTGGGAATGATTCGTCCCATGGTGAGTCACCCATGTGGGCGGTATAAATTGCCTGAGGGAGCATGGGTATCGAAGACCAAATGTCTAGATACATGTGAGCTGAGTTCCAGCCTGCTGTCATGGCACCAACCCATGAGGGCTCTGGAAGAGGGGCTGGGCAAGAGGGGAAATGATACTGCTGTCCAGGATGTGCAGATCTTGAGGCCAAACCTTATTTGAGGGTGGTGGTTAAGTGAAGGAAGGGAGGGATAACATACTCCTCAAATACAGGACATCTTACCTTTGGGATACGTTGGTCGAAGCCAGAAAATTGGAAGATCTCCACAAAGCTCTAAAATTTTGGGGCTTAGGAAACTGTTATCCTTGATAGGCTCATCTGCAGCAACCCAGATAAGGGAGTTTTCATCAAATTTAACAGGCATGATTTCATCTTCCTGCAAATAGAAGAGCATAAATCCTTTGCTAGGTCCGTGAACTAGCCTGCTTACTCTTAGTTCTTGAGCATCAGACTGTATAATCATCAGCTGCAACTAATACCAAGCATCCTTTATTTCTTGTATGTGAACTGATTGTAGTAAGCCAAGTCTTGGGTGACTGCTCCCACCTCTGAAATGAATGATAAAACTCCTGTCAGCCTCACTGGGGCTAAGATTTCACCAGGGTTTCTTTTGGAAGGCTTTTGCCTGATGTACCAGAACTGCTGTTGCCTGTGGTTGTAGGGACTGGATGAGGTGACAGAACTCATCTAGCCCAGGGCACCAGAATCTCAGCTGACAGAAGCCATGAAAGTTCACTGTCTTCAGCAAAGCGTGCAATGAAAAACACTAGCTAAAAAATGATACCTGAACCTTTTGTCATGTTCTGTTCTCATTTCATGTACTCCTAAGATATAAATATGTTCACAATGGAAAAAGCATCTTGTTCATAGGTTTTAGAGAAGGCTATAGTGTGAGAACTGTAGCTTCCAGTTTTAAGTCGACATGATTGATCTGGTTAAAGGTCTTGTTCAGTAAAAGCAATTCAACTGACCAAAAGCTTGAAGTGCAAGTTAAAGGAGCCTTCGTTTTTGAAGTGCACCCTGCAGGTTTTTGGTTCATCTCTTCAAAGTAATGTGGGAAAATACCAGTGATTGATTCTTTAAAGTTGTTAGTTGAAAGTATTATTTTTACACAAAATGTGTAACTTTTATTTTACTGCGTATTCTTTAGCAACAGTGAAAGATTAGAAAAACCCCAACTAGCAAATTACGAAAACCAGTATGATTTGAAAGTTGAAATTCTAAATTGCTTCCAAAAAAGTCATCAAGATCTGTTATATAGCTGACTAGATCAACTTATTCTGTCAGGCTGTTGTTCCTTTTAATGTGTTTGTTGATTTCTTTGAGGGGCCTTAAGTCATTTAAGTTCACTATCCAATCTATCTAGTGAGAACAGCATTTTATTATAGATTTTCCACCTAACCTTTTATCAGCATCAGAAATAACTGACACTACTTTTCAAAAATAAGTACCCTTTGTTTCTATTTTGAAATCATCCTAACTTCTGAGCAGACAGACCTTTGGCTATCTATAAACTTTATTTTATTCAACCTTTTTATAGACAATGTTGGTCACGATTAAATATGTATTTTAAGAGAATAGCATACACATACTTTCTCATAAATACATATACATCGCAGAACTTTCTGTAACTAGAAAAATAAAGACTACTTTGCTATTACAATTGTACATTTAATCAGAAAAGTCAAGCAACAGAGAGGTCAATGTTCCAACAGCAGCATTAAATTGTACTGCCTGTTTGTCTTTGATGCATACAATTCATTGTAGCACTTGTAAGTGATGCATCTTAAGTGAAAATGCACAAAAAAAACAAGAGAGGAAATATGTTTACTGTAGCCAGGTAGAAGATTAGAAACAACTTTTGACTGTTGTAAGATCTTCAGGATAATCTTCAGTATCGCAACTTTATTCTTACTAAAAGATGAAAAATTGAAACACCAAGCCTAGGCAATAATGCTAATTAAGTCAAGATGCCTAGATGTCCTGAGAAATGAGATAAGGTAGAAGAAATCTGGGTTTCTGCCTGGAATTTGAGCAAGAACCCATTGCTGTCACAGGGAAAATGCCACCAACTTCAGCAGGCTTTGCAATGGACCCTTGCTGCTTTGCTGTTTGGATTTAGTGTGTGTAGGTGGTGGTGTGTGGTTTTTTTTTTTTTTTTTTTCTATTTAAGTAGATGTTAAGTAATTACAGAACACTTTGCAGGAAGGCACAGCAAGAATGCTGAGAGAATGACACCGAGGAAGGAGGTCAGTGGGCTTCTCCCTTGTCATGTCGCTTAGTGTGCGTCACTGCAAGGCGCTGCTAGTGGTGTCAAGCAGGGGCTGTGCAGCAAGTTCGTTTGTGTTAGACTGCAACAGTCTCTTGGTGCTGTAGCTCACCTATGGTCCCACAGCAACAACAGTAGTTTCTCTTCCTACCCTGCTTTTCCAGTCCAAAGAGAGCTGTAGTCCCTCCAGCTTACTAAGCCTAGGCTGAGCTAGGGTGACACATACTGAATAGTGCAGAGGTCTCCCTAAGCCTGGGATTGCACTGGGACAACATGGCAGGAGTGCACAAATGGTTATAGCTAGGAGCATGCATGGAAGTAATGTGGCCACTATCATATTTGACTCAAAGGACCCAAATACTCTTTAAAGCTGGATTAACTGGAACTGCCTTCAGTGCAAACCTAGAGGAATTTGTGCATCTGGATATCCATGCAGGATATTTTAACTTTTCTGTCACTGCTGTGAAGTCAGAGGATTTATCAATCTATATTAAAATTGCTGTCATGGCAAAGCCTGCTCTGGAGCCATGCTGCTAACCACACTCTTTATTTTAAAATAATAACTTCTGCTTCTCTTATCGGGTAAGGCCACTGCCGCAGAACCGGAGTGCTGGCGGAATCAGCTGCGAGCGCCCACGCTTATACCGAAGTCACGTTCCTGCGCCATTTGCCAGCCGCAGAGCTGAGGAGGGCAGTGAGGTAGGCAGGACCACAATAGTTGTGTTAGTTACCCTGGGCTGAGCAGAGCCATATTAGATATGCTGAAGGTGGGAGCATCCCTGGCTCCCAAACTAGTGGGATCTCTGCTCTGTGGTGCTCGGCCCAGACTTGAATCCTCTCCCCTTCCCGAGGGCAGAGCGCGTACAAGGGGAGTCCAGGTCCGCTGTGACCCCTGCATAGCTGCGTTTTGTCCACGTTGTTCCCAAACTCCTACAGTCATCGCAAGGTGGCAAATTTTGGCTCACGCTTGTCAATCCAGAGCACCCAGGAGGAAAGATGATCTCTCTTTATCACAAGAAAACAAGGTAATCCTCTACTGTGAACTCCAAGAACACAGACGTGATTTTTTTTTTTAAACTTTTGCCTCAGCTGTGCCTCTCTTCCAGCTAAATGTTTTCCAGCTTTTATTCTGGAGCAAAGCCAGAGAAAGGAGTTGTAGGTCTGTCTACTGTATTCTCCTTTCAACGGCTGGAGCCCTGTGCCAGGGCCTGTACCACAAAGTGTTCAGCTTTGGAGCCTTGGGGGCTGCTCCTGCATCAGTGATGGGTGTGGGGGACTGACCTTTGGGAAAATCAGGCTTTGCACGCCTAAAATGATAGGCTCTCTGCCAATGTGAGATAGGGAGTTTTTGGCAAGGTCTGGCTGAGAATTACAGCTGTAGGGCACAAGTTCATGATGCAACTTTCATGAAATTTTGAGTTAACATGATGCCCCTAAAATGAAGTCTGATGCAAGAAGGTAAAGACCAAGGCTTTTTTAATATTCTTTATTCTGAGTTAGCTGAATCTTTGCAATATTTTCCAGGTCTCTCCTTTACTTGCTATTTCAGAGGACTTGGGTAGAGGGGGGCGTCCTTGCTTTTGCTCAAGAGTTTTGATATAAATGTCTTGAGGCCCCATCACTATCACTCTTTGGATTGACTGGAGCAGCTGTTCCCTCCGTGTTCTCCCTTTTTCTACCTTTCGGGAACCCCTTAGAATTAGTCCGTGGACCCTTAATCATCTACAGATAACTTGTTCAATGGTTTTCATCTATCATTTTTATTTGTATTTAAATAACCTTTACAATCTCTCTTTATACAAAGATTTTAAAAAACAACAAAAAAATACCCCTTACCAGATCAGATGAGAGGCTCTCTTTAGTCATAGCATCAACTTCAGGGACGTGAGCTTTTGGCTGAGCTTTGATATAACATTTTTCTCCTTCAGCAAAACGGATTCCAGTTATACCCTACAAAAATAGAAAGCCTGCGGTTACGTGCAGCCCTCTATCTCCCGATTGCTTCAAATAAAGCACTCAAGCTGTGTTAGTTGCCACTGAATTTTTAGATTGAAGGTTCAATCTTATTTAAAAACAAACAGATGCAATAAAACATTCTTCTATCATAATTTTAGCTTCATAATTTTGGACAAATGGGCTTAGAAGTTTTCACTTATTTCTGCAGAACGGGAGGTGTTTTATATATGTGTCTATGCCAGCTTTAGGCTACTTGGAGTAGCTGTGCTAAGGAATTAGTTAACGTGATTTGAACTGTAACTTAGTACCTAATGTAGGCAGCCTTAAAATTGTGTTAGCTGGCTGGATAGTACCCTTGGCACTTTTATACAGATTTTCAGAAGTATGTGGGCAGCCTAGTCCAATTTATGCACTTAAATCCCCGTGACAGCAAGGGGGAGCTCACGACTGGAACTTTGGTGCATGAATCTATACGTACATTGAGACTTTCTTCATCTCGACTATGAGGCTGAGAAGCAGTTGCCTAAACATAGATGTTTAGTTTTAGGCAACCTGGAGCCTATCTCAGCTGCTCCAGAGGGGTGCAGGTCTTCTGCAAGTCCTCCACCCTATCTGCCAGCCTTGTGCAGGCATCTTGAGCACTCTGGGACATCTGTCCACCTACGTTTAGGCAATGCAATCTCACCTGCATTTTCTGTGTTCCTGCTGTAGGTTTTTGGGTACCTGTAAAAGAGCACTCTCTTTTTATAGTATGAATTTAGACACCTGATTGCAGACAGCAAAACTTGCATGCCTTTCATAGGGTTGCATAGCTCCATTCAGCCACCTAAATATAAGTATCTAGTGCCTTTTGATGTGCTAGAGCCTTCTGCCCAGCCTCCAGCTGCTGGGCCAGAGGGGCATGTGTCTCCTGCATGTCCTGCCCCCACCTGCCTTGTGCAGACCTCATGGGTACCTTTGGCATCTAGTACAATTGGACGCGTGTGGTACCAAGGCAACTGCATCTAGTCATATAGCTCTTGTATGGCTGGAAACAGACCCCCACCAAAATGAAACTGTAATTCTAAACTAGCGAGAAAGGTGGGCCCTGTACAGGGATGGGTGCTTGAGGGAGGGGGATGCAGGGACTTCATGGCACACCAAGAGTGCCAGCAGCATCCTAGTCTTGTCAAATCCAGATCTGTAGTGACCGTGCAATCATCTGAGCCATGTCTAAGCATGCCAACCAATCCCAAGCTTCTAATATAAAGACTTGGCCTTTGAAAGTGCATCTTATCTCTTTCTTTCTTATGTTTGTTCTTCGCTCAAAATCAAACTGGCAGTATTACTGAGCCTGACCCTGGCTCTCTGTAACCAGGCAGGGAGGTCTCGGGAGCTGGTTTCTGACCCGGATGCGACTGGCATTAGCCAGGTTATTGGCCGCACTCACCAGCAGCACAGATCAAGGCAAGAGGCATTCAGCATCTCTCCAGCGAACTGGCGCTTTTGTGCAGATGTGGAACAGGGAAGGCAAACGATAAGAGCTCATTGTTGGTGCTGTTATTCAGCTGCTAATAATGTTGCTATGGTGATGTTAGCCAGAAACTCATAAAGGCTTGAACTGCAGCTGTCAGGCAATTCGTGGTCCCACGTCTCCAGGCGTGAATTTGCTTGTACTTATGGAGAAGCCAAGAAGCTGAATTTCCTCTCCTCTATACATGCAACATGTGGAGAGTGGCTGCCCCAGAAGGCCTGAGCAAGTCTTACCAGTAACTGATGGTGCCCGTTGTTTTAGGTGCTGCTTTGAAAAACGGGGTTTTACAGAGGGTTACAGAGGGTTTTCTCTTAACTCCTCTGAAGTTGAGTGTTCTGCTCTTGACAACATTAATTGCAGGATCTGGGCCCTGTTAGTAGGTTTCTGCAACAAGTGCCCTGGTTGCTTGGAGACGGTACAGCTTAATGGGCTGCTCTGAGTTGCTTAGCTTTGCTGAGAAAAAGAGTGTGTTAGCCCAGGCTGGGTGCTGAGCTGCCACAGCCAAACTGCTGGGGTGCCTGGATGAGTCTGTTGACTCAAATTGCTCAGCACGGGGTGTTTGGCAGATGGATGCCTAAGCTATGCCCACATTATTAAATGCCTCCCTTCTCTCCCTTGGGGATGAACCCAGGTGCCAGGCAAAGTAGCACACAGCAGCTCGCATCCTTGATCTTGGGGCAGAAACCAAGGATATGTCTATACTGTTTAACAGTTCCTCCTCAGTTTCTACTTGGCTTAATGTGTTGACCCTGTGCTCCTAAAATGATGATATTTTGGGGAGGAGGGTTGTTTTTTCAGTTCAGATCATATGCAGTAGTGTAATGGCTGTGTCACAGCCTGCCAGGATGTTTTTCTAGCGTAATCTCAAGGGTACACATTGCAGCTCTATTCAGTGATTTAAAAGTGCAAAATGTTACACAGAGCCAAAGCTGATGCAGTCTAATCTACGCTTTTTCCTAGAGTAGTCTCTGGGATGACCTATCCCCAAAAGGCAGTTAGATTCTGTTTTGGCGAAAATTACTTTGCTCACTGTGAAAGAAAGCTAGGAGTGCTTGGACGTTTAATGTGGATAGTTGTGGGACTGGCGCCTGAGAGTGAACTGTGGAGATAAGTTGAGACGAGTGTAGGGTGTCCATGGAGTCCAACCCTGAAGCGTGTTACATAAAAGACCAGGCTGGCTGTACTTACAATCTGGAAATCGTGAACTTCAACAGCCTCTTCGCTCCCGCTTCCTGTTTTGAATGTCTCTAGGTTGTTTCCAGCATCTATTTCCATTGATCCATCTTGTACTTTTCCATTGATACTCATAGTATAGTGAACATTGTAAACCTGGAATCAGTAAAAGAGCAGTAGCACACTTTAACTGTGTATTGCCTTCCTCTTAGAGCAGGTGACTTGTCAATCTCACTGCTGTACCCCTGTTCAGCTCCTAACTTTTATTCAGATTTCTGTAGGTACTTGATAGTCCTCCAGTAATCAAGACCACACTAGTACAACTGACGTCACCATTGGGACAGTCTGGCAGAGGGGCAAGTTGCCCAGAGAGGTTGTGCAGTCGCCATCCTTGGAGATTTTCAAGACCTGGCTGGATAAAGTCCTGGGCAACCTGGTCTGACCTTGCTTTGAGCAGAAGGTGGACTAGAGACCTCCTGAGGTCCCTCCCAACCTGATCTCTCCTATAATCCTCTGATCTCAGGGGCTGCACACAGATTTTTTTTTTTTCCTTTAGTTTTACTTCTGCAAAAGCCATCTGGGATGCTTCTGCATCCAGGCTAAATCTGACATAAGAACCTTCTAGGTTATATTTTAGGAATCACTCCTTACACAGGCATGATTCCCAAAGCAGAGTGGAGGTGAACGTCCTACTCTGAAGGAGACTAACCCCCATTTATTTCTTAGTATGTTCTGGTGAGGTGTTGGAAAAGGGGTTCCTCTTGAATGCTAACATGCTTCCCAGCTTGTAATGAAAGTGAAGTTTGTTTAAATTGGATATAGACCTCTTGTGTTCTTTTTGTCAGAGTATTTGCTCTTACCCTATTTTCAGTGAGGAAAGTACAGTGTGGTGTGTAACTGCTGGATGACCATGATCTGTGGAGGGTTTTTTTTTTTTTCCAATTTTCTTGTGCAGTTCTGCCAAAAGTACGACACAAGCAGTTTAGTTTTGGTCTTAAAAAAGCCTTACGGCATTTTAATGAAAAATTTACAGTAACATCTAGAGACAAATTCTTTCTTTTGCTCTCACCCTTGCTCAGGGAATTCTAAGGTGCTAAAGATTTAGGGTTCCTCAGTTATATAGGTTCAGTCCCATATTCTTCACTACCTAAGACTCTCTCTGAATGTGGTACATCAAATCAGTCCAATGTAAGTGGTGTGTCATCGTTCCCCTGCTAGAGACTGAGCTAGAGATAAAGACTTTGGTAGCCCTGTCAATTACAGGAGAATTTAATGTTTTACCATTTAAAAAATGACCCTAAATATCTCATAGTTGCAGAAAATCCCTTCCTAATCATTTACAAGTCTATTATAGCTCCTTGAATCTGAAGGCAGCCTGGAAAAATAACTCTTAGCTTTCCTCCTGTCTTTACGTGGAGATCAACTTTGAAGCTTAATGACAACTTATGACATTGCCATCATAAAAAGATGTTATGAAAAAAGAGATCTCTGAGTAAAAGCATTATCACTAGCTTTCTCAGAGTGGAGAAGAGCCTATGGTGAAGGAAAAAACCAACTTACCTCGTGGCAAGATGTAGAAATGGCATCTAATTTTATAAAAGGCATGTGGGGCAACTAATATGACTCATGTTGCAAAACAAACTGTAGATGACTGGAGGAATAAACAAAGGGGAACTTTGCCCTGTGCTCCCCGAATGTACCAAGCTGTCTGTGGTGAGTTGAGCTGAGCCCACTCCCTGCCTCAGGTACCTGTTCACCTCCCTCTCCCTTTTCAAAAGCCGAGAGGTGCAGATGGCTCTTATGGCACATCCTGGAAGTCAGCACTTTGTCTCGTCTTTTTGGTGTAAAACGTTGTACCTTTTTTGTGATTATCTGAGGTATTCCTACATGCGCAAGTGTTTTTTTCACATTGAAACCTCTGCCGAGATTTGCACAAGGCTCTCCTTGATGTTAACTGGAGTGTGGCTGGAGACAGTGCAGAGCTTGTTCCAAAATAAATTGGCTGATATTGATTGCACTTATGAGCAAGTTAAATTCAAATGTGCACAATCTTGTTTAAAAAACAAAATCTTTTGTAAACATAAAGAGAAGTTGATAGAAACATAGCTTACTGCTTACAATATCTCTAAAGTTTGGTTCTTGAGCTGCTGCTTCTCAGTTTTGTTCTTTACATATAGGCTTTTTCATGTACCCCAGAAAATGTAAATATTGAAACTTTTCACAACTTTAAATGGTGTTCTGCAGCTGTTAACCATTAGTGGCTTATATGACTGTGTGTGCACATTTAAGAGTAAAATAATCATACCTATTAATGAGTTAAATATAGAGTTACATATTTAAGGGTCCAAGTAGGATCTGGACCAAGAATGCAGACGATGTGAAAAAGGAATTTATGTATTTCAATGATTTTTTTGTCCTGACAGCTGCAGTTTGCCCAGGACGTGAATCCCTGGAGAGTGGTTGGGGTTTTGAGTTCTTTACGAATTTGTGAGCAAAAATCAATGTAGCGTCTGTCTGTGCTCTGAGAGATACGTTTTCCTTGCATTAATACATGTACTTCCAGGAGGCACCTTCTAAACAGCCAATAAAGATAATGATTTCTTTTTTTTTTTTTTTTTTTAATGGGAGCTATGGAAAAAAAAATAAAGATCTGCTTAAAGAACCCTTTTATCGTCCTCCCCGAGAAAAGTTTCCAGAGTTTGTGGAAGAGACTGTGACTCTGCTTCCGCTCAAGCAGCACGGGAAAAGCTGACTTGCTGGGTTAACGTGCTTCCCAGCTCTGTACGTGTCCGGCCCCGGCCGTGCTCACCT